AGCAAGAGGGGCGACTCAGGGAAAGCTGAGACGTTCAGCAGGAGTGAATGAATAAGTGCTTTACACTGCGAGAAAGTGGTGTAAGGTTTCTAGGCTCTGAAGGTAAAGTTACCCTTTCAAGTATCATATCTCTGCTGCTTATCAGATATCTTCTTATCAGATATCGTCTATGTTGAGGAAAACCTTAATAGACTTCTTATTTAACATAAGTCTCACCCTTCATTCACTCCATTATATCACACTTCATTTCTCGCAGTGCATTTGTCCAACTACTATATTTGTTTCTTGTGTGTGAGTGGTGTCAAGCCACAAACACCTTTTGCGTAAAATAAAGCAATCAAGCAAATAATGTTGCCACATTACACTATCAACAGCTTCCTGCTTCCTTGGCTTCAACACACACCCTCTCACACACACACACACATACGCATTCAAGGAGCAGGGAGAAAGGAGAAAGTAGCCACTCACAAGCTGGGGAAATTCTTTAATAGCTCACACAGACGCAGAGAAACACACACTCTCAGGCATTCAGGACAAAATGGTTGTGCAGACTAAAGTAAAATTGAAACAACCTTGAGGAATGCCGGAGCAAACACACCCACACACTCTGGCAATCTGGCAAGCACCCACATACACAAACACACACACACACAGAGACAGAGATGCAGACTGAGAGGCAAAAGTGTCTGGCAAAATGTCTCGACTCCTGGAATCCCCCAAAGCCCCACTCCTTTTCCTTTTCCTGTCTCTGTGACCGACTCAGTTGAAGTCAAGGCTTTGAGCCAACGACGACAAGGTTGTCCTTGTTGAGTAGCAGGATAAGGAAGGAGCCACCACACCCTCTTCATCCTCCAACCTCCTCCACCTCCTGCTTGTGCACTTTCGCTTTTGGCCTGGCCAAAACTGCACATGCTGCTACTGCTGTGCCACATTTAACAAATTATCTGTAATTTCTCGAGAGCAAGCAACAGCAACTTAACTCCACTCTACTCTACTCAGTTCAGCTCGGATGAGCTGCATCTTCCCGCAGAGCGTGGGGCCAATTGCCGGGTCACAGGCATTTCCCTGTGATTAACCCATTGGTTTCGTCAGCACGGGGATTAACTATCAGTTAATGCGAAATATTAGGATAATCTCTGAAGAACTTTACTCTTCAAAGATCTAGTTTTTATTTCTAGTTTTCAACTTTATGTTTGTAGTTTAAGAACCACCCTTAATAGCTAAGTTAAAAACTGAAGTTAAATCAATCGTAGTCTAAAAATCAAGGCTGGAAAGTTTCGCAATGGCAAAGCACCCATTCAAAGTCAAAGTTCCTGTTCCGCCACAAGCTCCTGCTAAATCCTGGGCCTCAACGGGTTAAGGCGGCGCCAAACCACTTGTCAAGATGGCTAACGGCAGAGTGGCTGCTAGCTGTTGCAGGGGCGAGTGGTGTCAAGTGGGCAGGGGAGGGTTCTGCGAAAGGCAAGGCAAGGCAGCCGACAACCGGCAAACCAACCAGCCAGGATTTTGGGCTACAAGCAGCCGCAAATGCTTAACTTCAGACACAACCAGAGGCGTGGATGAGGGGGGAGGAATAGAGGCAAGACAGACAGCAGGCGGCAACCACAGGCGAATTGCTGGCAAGGACGAAGCAAAAGGCAGGACGAAGCGAAGGCAGCTGCCGTGGCTGGAAGGAAGTTGTTTGTGGGTCGCAATTCAAGGCTGACCGAGAATGAGAACGAGAATGAGACCCAGAACGAGACGAGACTCGACCCTTTGGTTCTCCTGTTGCTCCTCTGCATCCTCCCTTGGCCCCCATCCGAAAGTCACCCCAATGCCCCTGTCCAACCACCAAGTGGGTTTGTGTGGGTGTCTCACAAGATGAAAGCCACTTGCCATTCAGGACCAGTCGAGCGGCTGCCTTCCTCGTTGACTTCAGCACACTGAGAGAAAACTGTTCTTTAGAAGGGAAACCCAAAGCTTAGATTTTTGGTTAACTCAAGGCAGAAATTATAGTTCTTTTCATAGAAGGAGATATATAAGATCACGACTTAGTTACCTAAGTATAAAAGGCAATCAAGTTTCTCTCAGTGTCGGCTTTGCTTGCTGCCCAACGGGTGGCCAGGAAGAGCAACTGCTCCGGAATGACCTTGAGCATTACCACTGTACTGCTGTTTGGGAGCCCCTCCCTGGGCTTGGGCTTCTCCTATTTATCTGCAGTCCGCAGCTAAGGATGCCCGGGATGTGCAGGATGTTTCCGGGTGGGGTCCGAGGACCAAGTCATGAGTCCTGCTTGCTAGCAGACCGAGTTTTGCATCAAGTGCAAAGTGATGTGTTAAGCTGTTAAGTGCCAAAGTAATTGTTTTCTTTCACCGACAACAACAGCAGCAGCAGCAACAAAGGCCGGCTGTGACGTCGCTTTCACTTGCCACTTGACCTTGAGAAGCGTCTCTGTGTGTGTGAGTGGCTATGCATGTGAGGGGATGAAGGCGGCATTGTTGTGCTCGTTCTGCTCTAAGTTGCACTTGCTTTGAGGGGCATTAGGTGAATTATGTCTTCCGAATTGGGGCCAGCAGTTGGCTGCCAAGGAACTGCCTTTCCCAGGAAGGGGTTAAGTCGAATGAAATGTCTGGAAGTGCCTGCTTAACCCTTTCCTTTCAACTTTCTTGATTCCAAATTGGCAAAAGGAAGTCCACTTCAAGGGGCTTACTTTGCTTATGCCTTAGCAATTGTTTTAAAGGTGAAATATTGCATTTTTATAAGCCATCTATCTGTGCTAAAAATATGGGAAGTTTGGTTAAGCCCTGTATTCCCCCAGAAAGAAACCGTATTCTACCCATAACTTAGCTAAAAATGGTCGGAATATGGAATTTTATACCTCAATGAGTTCGTAACTTAATTGCTATGATTCCCAATTGGTTTGCATTCAAATCTGGGACACTTCAATTTTTTCCATTTTTCGCTAATTTTGATGATGGTACCCCTTATAAAAAATGCGAAATTTGGACTAAAATTTATTTTCTCAAAACAGAAAATCGAATGATAGAGGTGGTAAGTGCTGGTCATTAGCAGCAAAAAACAGTCGTCCTTTTGGGTTTGAGTCCTGTTTTGACCAAGATAGAGCTCGAAAGCCGCAAGTAATATTGCAAATTTGTGTGAAAAATAAATCTTTTGACTTTTTAGCCACTAAGTCAGCACTCGCATCAAAAATTCAAAACAATCATAGTAAAAGTAAGTATAGGGGTCTTAAGTTTTGGTAGTTAGCTGCATAAAACAGTTATTGTTAAAGTCGTTCCGTTTGTATCGACAAAGTTACAGCTGAAAATCTGCAAAAAAATCGTGACTCTCTGCCGTCAAAAGGAAGTATACTTGATTTTGAGCCCTAAATATGAGTATTTTCTTTTTAACACACCGAAAAGTGGTCGAAACATGGAGTGTTATACCTCGTTGAGTTCGTATTTAAATTCCCCGTCGAACTGTGTACCACACTCAAAAAGTGATTTTTTTGGGATTTTACGAAAAATTTTTATGATTTTTAAAAAATGCGAAAATGGTTGTCCCGATTTAAGGCTCGAAATATCAGAATTTTGTCTATAAAATAGCCAAAAATTGTCGGAATATGGAATGCCATATGTCGTTAGGCTTGTTTTTCAATCTATTTTCAAAATATTAAAGTCCCATTCAAATCTGAAGAAAAAAATATTTTTTCAATTTTTGGAAAAAATGATGATGGTACCCCTTAAAAAAAGTGGAATTTCACAAAAAAATAAGTTTCCGAAAATCATCTTAATACCCAGATAGAAAGTTTGTCTGGGTCGTTAGCTGCACAAAACAGTCTTCCTTTTGGTTCTAAGTCTTCTCTTGACAAAGTTATAAGCATAATACTGGGGAAAAGTATTGCAAATTTTACTCAAAAGTCACAATTTTGATTTTCAGCCCAAAATATCAGTATTTTCCTCATTACAGAGCTAAAATTGCTCATATCACGGAATGTTATACCTCGTTGAGTTCGTATTTAAATTCCCCGTCAAACTGTGTACCACACTCAAAAAGTGATTTTTTTGAGATTTTTCGGAAATTTTTATGATGTTCAAAAAATGCAAAAACCGATTTGAGGTTCGAAATATCAGTATTTTCTTCATTACGAAGCCAATAATGGTCGGAAAATGGAATGTTATACCTCGTTAGGCTTGTTTTTCAATCTATTTTCAAAATATTCAAGTCCGATTCACATCTAAAGAAAAAAATATTTTTGGAATTTTTCGAAAAAAGGATGATGGTACCCCTTACAAAAAATGAAAAATTTGAGAAAAATTAAATTTCCGAAAATCATCGCCACAGCCACATAGAAAGTTTGCTTGGGTCGTTAGCTGCTCAAAACAATCCTCCTTATAGCTGTGCGTCTTATTTTGACAGAGATATAAGCATTATACTGATAAAAATATCGCTAACTTTACTCAAGAGTCATAATTTGGATGTTATGCTTAATATATCAGGGTATTCCCCGCCAGAATAAGGAGTGTCGTACCTCGTTGAGTTCGAAATTAAATTCCCCGTCGAACTGTATACCAGGCTCAAAAAGTACATTTTTTTCAGATTTTTTATAAATTTTTATGAAATTAAAGAAAATGCGAAAATTGGTCAATCCAGATTTCCCCCTAAAAATGCTTTACTTTGCCCATAACAAAGCTAGTAATGGTTCAAATATAGAGTGCCATACCTCGTCAATAAACTGGCATGAACATTTTACATCAATAAATTTTTGCTATTTCTCGACAAATTTTCAAATTACGCTAATAAGTGGAAAACTTGAAAAAAATCATTTTTTCAAAGTCAGTTAGAAATTGATAGGCTTAGATTGTTTAGCTTGTCAGCAGCTTAAAACAGCAATCGTTTCGCTGTGGGAACATGTTTGGCCAATCCAAAATCACTCCTCCTTAGTGAAATGTCCAACTGAGAGATGCATTTTCCGAGCCCTCCCACATTTTCCGCATAAATAAAAGATCAGAGACGGGTTTGGTGACATTTAGCTTTTCAATTTGTTTTATTTTCTGTTTATTGTTGTATAATTTACTGTTTAACTAAACTCAAGAGTGCCTCGCGCATCTCTGGGGATATATAATAATAGTCGTAATAATAGGTATAATAATAATAGTTCACTCACAGAGTACGGACAATACATATGCATATCTGACAGTCGAGTGTGTAGTGTGTGTGTGTGTGGGTGTGTGGGTGTATGGGTGTGTCATTGTTTACATAAAATTAGCACAAATTTAATGTGATGCTGCCTGCTGCCTGCTGCCTGCGATGTTTGCTCATTCGTTCATTTACAATGCGATTACCATAGAAGAAGTGCTGCGAAGGGGCTGTTGGGTAAGTCTAAGATTAAGTCGAAGCCTAAAGCTATGGAAATTTGTACATTATTTACAGTTACATTTGGAAATACCATTAATATAAGTATATGTATAGGTATAGGTATATGTATATGTTAATGTTATGTAAGTGCCTGGGTATGCACTCTACCTATCTGTGTGGCTCTATGTACCTAAAGTATTTGCGTTAATATATATATATATATATTTATATAAAGTTGTAATTACCGGATTTGACAACATTCAGTGTGTGTGTGTTTGTGGTGGTGAGCTAGTCTAGTCTAGGGTTAAGCTACATTTAAGAAATGCACAAGTCTCTAATCGTTAATCGTTTATCGTAATCATAATCGTAATCGTAATCGTAACCTTAAACGCGGTTACTTTATCGTTAATCCTACTCATTATTATTATTTTCGCGTGGCAAAAAAGGCAATCAACGCAACGAATTCTCTCGGAAATAAATAAGACAAAGTACGAGATCCTATCCTTACAGGAAAGTTCCGAAGTATGCATATGTGTGTGTTGGGGTGTGTGTTGGGGTGTGTGTTTGGGTGTGCTTTAATAATAGGTTAATACTTTATACCGTCCTCGTTACGCTCTAAACTAGCCTAGGCATAAAACCAGTTAGCAACTTCAACTAAGCCCTAGACACTAAAACGTTGGGGTTCAAGTAGCAGTCCAAATGTGTTTTTCCTTCTTTTTCTTTTGGGTTTCAGGGTGGCTTTCCCAGCTCTGGGGAAATGCTTTCTTTCAGGGGCTAGTAATCTTTGGACTTTTCGGGCTATTTTCCTAGGTCAAAAAGTAAGATATTGCATGTTGCCAGTAACCAATTTCATTACCTTATCAGTCACACTTTACAAGGGCTGCTAGCTTCCTACATGTTTTAACTATTATTTTAATAGATGAATCCTTAAATAAAATGCAGCTTAAGTTCTTTACACAAGTCCCCCCTTCAAACCTTACACATCTTCCCAAAAAAGCTTGTTCTAAAATCATAATTACTTACTTTAATCCAAGGATTACTGAGCACCCCTTGATTTCACTTTCTTTTGGTTACCTAAAAGAAGTTGTCCCACCCTAATGCTGGTCACTTCCAGTGAGCCGCCCCCTGCGACCCGCCCCTGCCCAGGATTCAATCCTCGTGCGGCAGTTCGGTGGCATGCTGCTGCTCCAGCTTGATCTTCATGAGAGGGGACTCCCGGATGGCGCCGCCTCCTGCCCCGCCAGGCGGCGCATAGGCGGCCGCCGCGGCAGCAGCAGCAGCTGCGTCCGGATTGGCGAACAGCTCACTCATGTCCTGGCCTGGTCCCGGGAAGAAGTCCTCGAAGCGCGGGCTCTTGTTCACCGACTTCTGGAGCAGCCCGTTGGCAATGGCCTCGAAGTCGATGCCGGCGGGCAGGCTCTCCAGAAACCTCTTGTTGTAGGCACTCGCCTGGTGCTTGGCATAGTGGGCGGCGGAGTAGGGCGAGGCTGCTCCTGGTCTTTGGCTGGCGGTCAGGGACTTGGCGCTGCCGGAACCGGAACTCGATCCCCGCGATTGGCTGCCATATTGGCGGGACAGCTCCCTCTCCCTCTCGCGCTCCCGATCGCGTTCCCTTTCGCGGGACAGCTCGCGGGCATAGGAGGCGGCACTGTTGGGCGCCGAGCCGCCACTTCCTCCGCCAGATCCGCGGGAGGGCATCACATTCAGGCCGGGAAGACCCATCAGACCCAGGGCACTGAGATCGGGCAGGTTCTCCGAACCCCTTCGATCGCCCTGTTGCTGGTGCTTGGCCGCCGCCGCTGCCACGGCCGCCGCTGCGGATACTTGATCCTCGATCTCGGATCTCTGCAGATAGGCTGGGGACTTGTACATGTTCATGGACTGGCCGTGGGGCGACTGCTGTTGGTGGTGCGAGGGCTGCTGCTGGTGGTGGGACTGCTGCTGGTGGTGGTGCTGCTGCTGCTGCGAGAGGATCTGGCGGCGCAGGGTCTCCGTCATGGAGCTCAGCGGACTTCCGGCGTCCGGAGGAGCCAGTGCGGCATTCTGGGCAGCCATCTTGGCCGCTGCAGCACTGTGATAGCCGTTCGAGGTGGAGCTTCCTCCGATGTAGGACTGCAAGTGTCAGAGAAGAGGGTGGAAAGGTGGAAATAGTGGGTTAGAATCGGATCGGGCTGTAAGATCGTGGCTATATGCTATTTCAAAGTCAATATAAAAGCTATATCAAAGGGAAATAAAATCAAATCGCCGATAATGCGCTGTTTTAGAAGAAATAAGAAATCAATTTGGATCCGATTTATATATAGAAACCAGACCTTGGCGCCTCAAAAATAATATAATTACATTTTTGTTTACGGATTCCACCTGACTGAAATAAAATTGGATCGGCCATTTATTCTGGCCAATGGAAAATGTTTATTATTATGAAGTTATTCCAAATATCGTTTTATGGCCTTATAAAATATGTTCTAAGAAATCTCTCTTCTAGAAGGAAAACCTTTTAAGTTAGCAAAAATGTTTGAACTTAAAGAAATGAAATTCTAATAAGTTATATCTCTTTGATTCTAAGCACCGCTCATTAACTTTTAAATCAAATTAAAGTCTAAAAAACACATAAATTGTACTTACACCATGGGCCTGTCCGTTGGCGTACTGGTGGGCGCTCATGTCCTCCTTGATTTCGCGGTAGTCCCGGAACACCACCGCCTTGATGACGCTGCGGATGAGTTCCTCGGGCCACATGCCCAGCAGGATGCGCTGCGGACGACCCCTGGCCTTTGGCCTGGGATCAGCCCCGCCGTCTAGCGAGGGTCCCAGCATGTTGTGGACTCTGTTGGCATAGAGGACGAAGGTGGGGTAGGGGATGTCGTATTTGCGGGCGGCCTGCGACAAGGAGAGACCCTCTTTCAGGACACTGAAAATGGCCTCGGCCATGGCCTCGGGGCGCCAGGACTTCAGGGGTCCTCGCTCTCGGAATCTCAGCTGCTGGACCAGGTTCTGCTGGTTGGTGTTCCAGCACTTCTGCCACATGGACTGCAGCTGGTACTGGTAGCTGTCTGCTGGAAGACACGTCACGCGGACATTATGAAAAGGCTGAAAAGGGGTCGGACTTAGTTCTAGAACTTACCGGCCACTGAAGCTGCCCCAGTTGCTGCGGCTGCAGCTCCCATCCAGCCACCATGGCCTCCGCTCTCGATCATCTTGGCCTGGAATTAAAACGGAAGTGAAAGAGTTAGTTTGGGGTACTTGCGAATCAATAATAATAATAGAAGTGACTATTTTTCAACCTTAAATGCTAACCAAATGCTTAAAATAAGAGGAATACATTCCACAGCCATAACCTTTTACATTTCCTTCGCGCCGTCTTTTAAATAATTAGAAAACTTTGCATACCAGGTATCTTTTGAGTCGGAAAAGTCGGAAAAGTCGGCCCAGTCGCTAGTTTTTCAGTGGCTTACTTCGGGCCCTGTGACATTTGCACACGAATTGTGGCTGGCCGTAAAAGTTTATGATTGCCATAAATGTTGCGAAGGCATTTTCGTATGCAAAGAGCTCAGGAGCCTCCGAAAGCAAATTAGTATACAAAGTGGGGCCATCCCGGCCCCATTGTCTTGGCGGCTTTTTACGGCCAAAGGCTTTGACTTCCACTTCGACTTGTAGTTCGACTTCGACTTCGGCTAGCGGAATGTACAAAAAGCCATTTATTTATTGCTATTATTAGGAATTCAGGGGGAAGCCCGGTGCCGCTTAATTGAGCCCGCCTTTAACCCTAGCGGCCGTATTAATCAGAGGGCCTGGGCCATTTAGGGGTTAACCGGGAGCTGGGACCGACCGAACTTAAAACTCAAATGGAGAGATTCCCCATTTTTATTTCGCTCTTTTTTTCTGAGCTCGCTCCGCGGAGGCATAGGAAAAGTTAAATTGATGCACGTTTCGTGCCTCCGAAACTGAGGCTCTGGCCATAAAGCCTTCCTCTCGGCCAGCTAGCCAGTTGGCCACTGGCCGGCCACGCCCCCTCTGCGCACGTAGCCATGCATTTTATATGCAGGGGCGTAATACAAATTATGTGCAGCGAGCATGAGCCAGAAAAAGTACAAAATACAAAAATAAAACACAAAGCGCTGGAAAAAATGCAGCGCATAAAGAGAACATATAATGCAAGTCTTAAATATTTGAGGAGTAGGCGCCGGAGAGCGGGAAAGCTGGAAAAACTCCATACTAGTCCCTGCTCCTACTCCCAACTCCACACTGCATGCCAAGGAATAAGGTCATAAAACGTATGAATAATTGAAATTGAAAAGTCGGAAGCGTTTTTACGTTTTTACAGGCAGTTCGCCGGAGCTGTAACTGTAACAAATGCGGCCAAGTTGCAAACAAAATGGCGTTAAAAATGCTATTTTATGTAAAACACTTTGTTAATGACGCCGGACTTTTTTGCCCCAGGGTGTGGGGTGAATTATGGCAGGCAGTGTGGCTGTGAGTAGTAGAATTACAGGTCTATGGCTGCAGTTAAGAAGTTATGGTGCTGGATTTTTGTAGCTAATTAGTTGAGATTAGTCAGATTAATAAATAATATAAAATATATGTAGGAAGAGAGAGAACAATCACTAGAGAACCTTAGAGAGGTGAAGGCAGAAAGCAAGTTTAAAATATTATTAAAAACTTAATTACACGTTTAGTTCCTCAATTATCCAGCTTTTTTCCAATGTATAGATCGTAAAGTTGCCCCTCTCCCCCTAGCTTTTGTCGGAGATTAATCAACCCCTGTCGGCCATTCATCCATCCGTCCAGAGTGGCGATTATAAAACTCTCGCATAGTACAATTCATATAATAAAATATTACGAGCTCTGCTCGAAAATGTTTAATTAATTAAATTTTGAATTCCCCTTGGCTGGCAACAACAAATGGCATTTCCTCCCAGTGCTGCCCCTGCCCCTCCCCCTGCTCCAACAAAAACAAATTCGAAGTGTGCGCGCATTCAACTTTCTTTCAACTCATTTAATTTAATTTGCGGCGCTTCGCTGCTGACGTCGCTGCCTCTGCTGCTTCTTCTTCTTTAGCTGCTCACTCTTCCTCTTCTTCACCGCCTTCTTCTTCTTCTTCTTCTTCTTCTTGCCAATTACTCATCGTGAGCACGCCCCATTCACATAATAATTTATTTAATTAACTTTTCCGCTGCTACAAATTTCTATAAAAATTTATTGATTTTTGTTTTTTCCCCCCAAAGAAAATATTTTCGTGGCCAATACTTTTTTATTTGCACCCACACTCGGAGATCTCTATAAAGATATATAGACGCAGATATAGACACACATACATATATATGGATTTCTATAACTTTGTGTCCATGTATGGGTGTGTGTGTGTGTGTGTCTGTTGGCAATAAAATATAAATTTATAACACGCCCTCACACTCGCATTTGCCATCAATCCGAATGCATGGACTACCCCTGCCACGCCCCTGGCTTTCAACAGCCTTCAAGTTTTCACTACATCGCGGGCAACCTCTGCTGCTTAACCCTCTGCTGCCCCATCCACCCCCTCCCCACCCTGCTGTAATACCCCTTGGATTCTAATGCAATTTTAATTTTATTTTTCAAGCGCGCACATAAACTCAGCAGCACTCGCCCCGCTCCCTTGGCCCTCTGGAAAAGCACTAAAACTACACCATTTTCCTAACCTTCCCTTTATCCTTATCCCCCCTGCCCCCTGCCCCCTGCCCCCGCCTGCCTTGCTGGTTCCTTAGAACTTTTGCTGTAGTTTTCCTCCTGTCGTTTCTGCTGTGTATATTTCTTATATTATATAACACTGTATTTATTATTCATTTTCGATTCGTGTTCCACCGTGGTGGCGTCTCAAGTTTGTTATTTCTCTTGTCTGCAACTTGCTCACCACAAACCAGACCCACCCCACCCTTCCCATTTCCCACTCTTAACCCTGCGAAGACCCCCGCTTGTGCGTCAGAACTAACAGGAACTTTGCGATTTCCTTGGCGCTTTGTGGGGCAGCTTTTACTTTTCCTGGGCTCCTGGTCGCCTTCAGCCTTCACTATTACTACTGCCGACTAGTTTTCTCTCTCTAGCTCTCGCTTTTCCGCCACTTCCGCGTTGCCACTCTCTTTTCGGCAGCCAGCAGCTCTCTGTTCATTCACTTCTTCGCATTACTCAGCCAGTCGCACGCATGCCACCCACTTCCCAGCCCCCATTTTCCGGCAACCTTGGCCACGTTGTAGCTACTGCTTTTCCAGCATGGCATGGAAATTATCAACTAAATTGGTGACTTAAGTCTCAGAGATATATCCATAATATCTAATATAGTAAAGATACTTTTGCATCTCAACTATTGCTTAGATGGAAAATGGTTCGCTGTGTGGCCACACCTTCTGTCCACGGCGCTTTTCATTAATTTTCCAAGACGCCAGAAATAATTCAGTTAAGAACGAAGACCTCGGAGACTACAATTATCGAGTCCTGCGGACTGACACTTCTCATTGGGGATCCCGCGAATCGATTTGCATTTTTATAAATCCCATTCCCAGGCAACCGAATTTCTAATGGCGCCCAGTAGAGGCTTTGGCTCTTTGGCTCCTTCGCTCCTTGGCTCCTTTCTCCTTGCCGCAAGACAAAAGACAGAAACAGAAACAAAAACGAAAACCTCGACGTCGACGTCGGCGGCAACTAAATATTTAATAGTATTTTATTGCACGAATTTCACATAAAATATGCATATTGGCCCGATGCATTATTCATGGGAATAATGTGAAAAACACATTTCGCGAGGCGGGGAAACAGTAGCTTTCCCTGTGTGTGGCTATATAGATACTTCTTGGGTACGATATCTGGTTTCTTTCACCCAGTATATATATATATATAGTATGCATATGTATCGGAATATAATGAAATGCAAGAGAGCTAAACAACAATAAACAATCGCAAGTCCAAGGAACTGCTGGGGCCACAATAATTGTAGCAATCATAAAGCCAAGTGCGAGTGCATGAAGCTTGCTTTTTGCTCCCACTTCCAATTCCAATTCCACTTGCAGTCCCACTTCCAGTCCCGCTTCCACTTGCCCCCTTCTACTGCCTGCCAACCCCCCTGAAAGTTTTGTTTGCCACTACAGCAGTAACAGCAACTCACCTCACAACAATGGCAACAATAATTTAAATGTAATAAATAATTATACGCCAAGTGTTGAGTGCAACGTGCATTGAGGTGTGTCAAGTTGCCGACTAACCAACTGGCAACAGCAACAACTGCAGCAGCAACAGCACAGAAACAGCAACAACAGCAACATCAACCGCAGCCGACAACAGAAATTGCCATAAAACATTCAAATGGGCCGCCGACTTCTTCCAGACCCTCCAAACTCGAAACTCAAACTCGAAACTCGAAAATACCGCGATCCGAGGCACCCTTGCTGCCCCTTCTGGCATTCCCTTCCACTCCGCCCGTGGCTGCCCCCTCTTGTTTATTGTTGACCCCTCCCAAAAAAGTTGTCTTGCTCGGCTGTCCTGCCAGCTCGGACTTTGGCAAAGGGCAATCCCAGCCAGAGATGACAGCGTGACACGATCAATTACTTCTTTTAAATTATTTTGAGTTTTTAAGTTTTAGGTTTTGGAAAGTATTGACATTTTGAATGAGTTTTTAAGGAGCTTAGAAACTATGAAGTGGATAATAGGATAGGTAACCAACCTAGCACTCTGCCATCCCTAAGAACCAACACATTTGCGGCCAACTCGACCCTGGCTTTTATAGTATTTACTTCGGCTTTTGGCCCGACATTGTTATGGTTGTTGCAGTTGTCGGGCAATTGTAACTTCTGCAGTCGTTGCTCATGTAATTTCTCTTGGCTTGTAGTTGCAAGTAAAAATTAACCTCCTGCAAATAGTAATTTATTGTTTTTAGCATAGGGGATAATGAGGATATACGGACACAGCCCCCTTGCCCGCTTTGCCCTCTGGAAGCCTGAGCATTGTTGGTTGAATGTAATGGCTTGGGACTGGACTGGACTGGAAGAGCCTTGCGTGTCCTTTGAGCTGATTGAAAGCGCGCTTTCACTGCGAGAGAAAGGGGGGAAGGGCAATGGGGGCCAAAGGGCTGCGGAGAAAGTCTACAAAGTGTTAAAACGGCTGCACACAGTCATTAAATATTAAACTTGTATAAGCTGCCAGACTAGCGGACTAGCGGAAAAAAGCGGAAGACACG